ACATCTGGTGAAAATTTCATGTCATTATCACCTCTAGTAATATATTTACTGAGAAAAATGGTGACGTGTTCAATACTTATTTTACCCACTGTATAATTAAAAGTATTCCATATAACATTTGTGGTTTTTAACATCCATCCATCCATCCTCTTCCAATTGTTCCGAGGTTTGGTTGGGGGAAGCAGTTTGAGCAGGGAGACCCAGACAAAAAAGTGGCAAACTGAAGAGAGCCCCAGTACCTTTGGTCAGGAGGCGGTCCCTGATRGAGACCCTGTGGGCGGAGTCTGAGGCTCCAGAGGCACGGCCCGTCTTCCCTCCGTCGTCCTTCTTCAACTTGCTGGCCAGTGTGAGCATGACTGCGCTGCTGTTACACGCCTCTGTCTGCACTGCGCCGTGCCGTCTGCCGCTTAAACGTCTGCAAAGAACACAGATCAAAAGGTGCACCAGTGGATTTAATCCATATAAATTCATGCAGTTAAGATGAGAATTTAAAATACATCTGTGTTCAGGTGGTGTGCAATAAAATAAAAGTTTTAGAAACAGAAACAAATAAAAAATAAAAAGGTTGTTTTAAGCGACKTGGACACATTAATTTCAAACGTAATAATTGTATAAAGTGTGGGCTTTAAAGATAAAAAGAACTAAGAAATTGTAAAATTACCTTAAACCTTTCAAATTAAAGCAAGGTTTTGTTTCCCATGCACTTAAATAAAAAATAAAATAGTATTTATATGTTTTTGTGCTTCTCTAAGATTTCAGTTGTGATAATATACTAAATTACATCAACACAATTGGTTTACATTCTAAGTTTAAAGCTGAGAAACTGCAGCTTTGAACTGAGGATGTTCAGTTTTATTTGAGCCCACAGATCGTTTATGCTCCTTACATAATAAATTCTGCCATGTAACTGCTCGTATCGCGTGTTAAATCTCTGAAATACAGTAATCTCTGCACWCTGTGTAATCCACTCTGTGTTTGGGCTCACTCGGTGAGGCGGAGTGAAGGTATCAGCTATCGGCAAGGCCGTGAAATGTGTGTCACTGAGCCCGACTCGACGTCCACCTGCCTCGGCTGTCACTCACTGGACTCTGACACAGTTCACGTCCAGTGTGTGACTGCAGGGCAACAGCAGGTTCATGCAGCAATATTACCACACAGTAATRCATAAAATTTACAATAATAAAGTTAAAAAACAGATGCAAAAGCCACTTAATATTTTGTGCAAAAGCCTTGAAGCATTTTTTAATATATATGTTGCTTTAACTGAGTTAAACATTTTTGAAATATTGTAAATCTTGCAAAATACTAAATTGTCTGCTTTGTCTATATKTTTCACTAGGAATGTTTTCATTATTTGTCTGTTAAGGTACTCAACTCTTCAAGGACGTTTGCCTAAAGAATTCAGTCTGTTCTTTCAGAGTCAACASTATCCAGATTATTATTATTTTCTTATTAATACTATTTACTGTGCTCCCTTCTAGTCAGTTAATCCATTCTAGTTTCCAAGAAAAYCACTATGAACTAAAGGCTAATTTAAGACTTCCGCACAGCACTGTTAGTAGTTTTTACCTAACCAAGCCTAATTACTAAAACAACATWTTATCCTTAATTCAGTCGTATCACCTACTTCCTGTGGCATGCCTAGATACTTCCGTATCTAAATAATAAACCCAGCTGATATCTGTTTTTACTGAAACAAACAAAAATAAAYAATCAACCATGAAGGACCCGTTGTWGTGCTAAAAGCAGCTGATTTCAGGTTCAATTTAACCATGAAAACACACCAGTAACGTTGCTAAAACCAGTCAAACAGAAGCAGAGAACAAACAGCTCTTAATTCCTTGTTACGTTTTCCACAAATGAATAAAACGCTTCTTGTTTTAAAGCTGTAGTTTGACCCAAAATGCAGCTTGTTGGTTCTTTGTGTTGTTGTTACCTTTCTGAACCCGAGCAGCTAGCGCTTCGTGCTAAACCATAATCAGCTGCTGTCGTCTGTTCGAGCTGCGGGCGGATCGGCAGCACCACACCGGGATGTTAGCAGACACGCCCGGTTCCGAGACCACCCAGAAAAAAAAAAGTTGGATTCTGGAAGTGACTGGAAACTGATTTGAGACTCAGCTGACAGAACTTCACTCCGATATCATAGACAACGGAAGCGCAGTGAAAGCGTTCCGTTCTTGTTGTTGTCCGTGTGGACACACGGCTACGGATAAACAGTTCCGCAGCGCACACAGTTCCCAGTCAGTTCCAGGAAGTTCAACTGTTTTTTTCCAGTAAAGTTAGAAATTATGTTGCTGTTTTATATACACCTGWTTATAATGGTGTTTGATATATTTATACACAGCACTGTGTACAAACAGCACGGGCATGTCTTGAGTTCAGCATTCAGGACTGTGCAAAAGTCTTGAGTCATTAAGCAGCCAAAAATGGTCTTCTGTGAAAGTCTTTGAAAGGTTTTTGTTTGGCATTATTAGTAGTAAAAAGTACAAGAAATTAAAATTGGTTTAAAACCTTTACCTCTCTGAAAAATGGTATTTTAACTTATATTTTTCCACAGCAATTTTTTTTATAAAAATGTGAACTAAATTGTTTGTAATTGTAGCTTATCCCATTTTGTTTGAATTTAAGAAGCTCGTTTTTACTAATTATAAAGAGAGATTTGGTTTTATTATTTTCCAGTATAGAGACTAATAATTTTATTCAAATAAATATTTTTATTTATCTAAACATATTAATCATTTTCTGTGTAGAGCACAGGTTTTCACTGCATGCACACTATACTTCTCCAAGTCTAAAGTCTGCTGCAAACACTGATTTACTTCAGATGATATTTAAAGTCTAATTAAGATTAAACTTTCAGCTGCGATAGTTAAAGGTCAAATGTGAGGTAATCACAGCTCCGTTTTGTCTACTTTGTATTTTCTCATTCTGTTTCACAGCTGCAGGTGAAAAGCTTTGTGCAGCTCCTTATCTCAGTCAGAGACACAAAGAAAACTTCTCCGCTCAGGCTGCGTTTGATGTGATTACCCACGAGTGAAGATACACAATTTTTCAGAATATGAGGACTGCGAAAAGTGTGAATTATTCCAACCACATCTTGATATGATCTTGTACCAAATCAGACAAGAAAGAGCACAGAAAGAAAAGATCTGGTCTAGCAGAGCTGAATGCCAAAAGGAAATAATACGATGCACTTCTTGGAGTTGACAGAAATTACCACTAAAAATATCTGGATGAAACTGATTCACTCAGTTCGGGGCAWGGCACTGAAAACCACTGACCTGTCGGATCAAATAAGGTTTGAAAATAAAAACAGAAGAGAAAGACAGAGAAGCTAATTTCTGAATAACATTATTTAGCATTTCTTCTACATCTCTTTCGACAGGAGTTGACCTTCAGGCTTCCTGTGATACGAAGGGCTTTACTCTCACAAAAATCCTTTGTTGATCTACAAATCCTTTGCGTTAAAAGTCTAAACGGARTTAGAAATACAATAGTGACAATTTATAGGGCAAACTATTAAAAATGAGTGATGCACAGAGGAAAACATCSAGGAAATAATCAAATATTTCTGTGATTTTTTTCAGTCCCACAGAGCCAAATAAATAAGATTATTCAGAATGAAGTTTGTCACACGTTTCTGCCTAAAGGAGGAGGGGATTAACTGACACAAAATGCCTCACAAGACATCTGAGTCTTCTGTTTATCTTTTCAGAAACCCTTTAAAAATTATAAAATCTAATTAGTTCGGTTTGGCTTTGAAGTTTGTAATGGTGAAGGCAACACTTTTCACCTTCAGTCAAAAAAAACTGCTGTTTGCTGTTAGATATGAAAACATCAGGATGTGTCCCGCTGCTGTCATGTTGTCTACAAACACTTCAGCTTTTTTTTAAAGGCAGTAAACAAGTTTTCATTCTTTCATCTTCCTGCATGTGCGAGTTTCAGCCACACTGCATTTGCTGACAGAAAGATATTTTTATTCTTGTTGTAAAATATTCAGCTGTTTTTTGGGGTATTTAACATGAAACTTTTGCTATCTTACTGAAAATTTCCAACATTTCAAAAAATAGACTGGATATTTTTACATTAAATGTGAATGTAAAGTATATTGTGCCAAAGCTCACAGTACACTGTGACATGATATGACTTGTTATATTCAGGTTGGAGGTTACTTTTCATGTGAAAGGCATCATTTGCKGAGTTGTAAAGTAACTCAGTACAAATTTTGTAGAAATTTTGGTTACCTATACTTTACTTGAGCAATTATTTTTCAGCCTAATTTTTACTTCTACTTCTTACATTTTTATGCAGTTATCTGTACTTTCCACTTCTTACATTAAAAAAGGTAAAAAGTAGAAAGTTGTTTCTCCTATTTCGTTTCGGCTTTTTATTGTTAAACAAAATACCATCTTGATAAACTGAACCTCCTGGATAGAGTGAATTTAATTGTTTTTGAATGAGAAGCATAAATACAGCGGGTAAAATAAGTATTGAACACGTCACCATTTTTCTCAGTAAATATATTACTAGAGGTGCTAATGACATGAAATTTTCACCAGATGTCGGTAACAACCCAAGTKATSCATACATACAAAGAAATCAAACCATAAATGTCCAGAAATGAAGTTATTTGTAATAATGTGGAATGGCACAGGGAAAAAGTATTGAACACATGAAGAAAGGGAGGTGTAAAAAGGCATGGAAAGACAAGACACCAGCTGAACTCTCTCAGTAATTAGAAAGCAAGCCTGCCCCTTGTCAGTGCAAGTTAATATCAGCTGGTTCAGTCCCAAATGATGGCCAGGTATCACACAAGAACCATCTGATGATGGGTAAAAGTAAAGAGCTCTCTCAAGACCTTCACAACCTTATTGTTGCAAAGCATAATGATGGCATCGGTTACAGAAGAATGTCTAAACTTCTGAAGGTTCCAGTGAGCACTGTTGGGGCCATAATTCAGAAGTGGAAAGAACATTATTTCACCATAAACCGACCACGACCAGGTGCTCCTCACAAGATTTCTGACAGAGGAGTGAAAAGAATTATCAGAAGAGTTGTCCAAGAGCCAAGGACCACTTGTGGAGAGCTTCAGAAAGACCTGGAATTAGCAGGTACGATTGTTTCAAAGAAAACAATAAGTAATGCACTGAACCACCATGGYCTGTATGCACGCTCACCACGCAAGACTCCACTGCTGAAGAAACAGCATGTTGAAGCTCCTTTAAAGTTTGCTGCACAACATTTAAACAAGCCTGTGTAATACTGGGAGAATATAGTCTGGTCAGATGAGACCAACATTGAACTGTTTGGATGCCAGAATACACATCATGTTTGGAGGTCAAATGGCACTGCATATCAGCCCAAAAACACCATACCAACAGTGAAGTTTGGAGGTGGGAACATCATGGTGTGGGGCTGTTTTTCAGCATATGGTACTGGCAAACTTCAAATAATTGAAGGAAGGATGAATGGAAAAATGTACAGAGACATTCTTGATAAAAATCTGCTTCCATCTACCAGGATGATGAAGATGAAACGTGGCTGGACATTTCAGCAAGACAATGAGCCCAAACACAAAGCCAAGGAAACTCTCAGTTGGTTTCAGAGAAAGAAACTAAAGCTGCTGGAATGGCCCAGCCAATCACCTGACCTGAATCCAACAGAAAATCTATGGAAAGAACTAAAGATCAGAGTTCATAGAAGAGGTCCACGAAACCTTCAAGATTTGAAGACTGTTTGTGTGGAAGAATGGGCCAAAATCACACCTGAGCAATGCATGCCACTAGTTTCTCCATACAGGAGGCGTCTTGAAGCTGTCATTGACAACAAAGGCTTTTGTACAAAGTATTAGATAAATTTCAGTAAATGTGTTCAATACATACTTACATACAAGTACATTTTATGTCAGAAATTTACTTTAAGTACAAAATAAATCAGATACTTTACGACTTTTACTCAAGTAATATCCTTTGAGGAGACTGTAACTTTTACCAAAGTAATTTTATAATAAGATATTTGTATTTTTACTCAAGTATCATTTTTAGGTACTTTACACAACACTGTTCATTCGGTAATTCCTGGATGATCTGAGTATTTAATGTAAAACACGTTTCACAGAAAAAATATTGCTTATTCTTCATTCAAGGAATTCTAACACTTTATGTATATACTGTTCTTTTCCACATAAACACAGATTTTCTCCAACATCTTTACATCAAACAAGTTTCTCTACAACATCTGCTGTCTTTTGGGCACCGGACTGTTCTTGAAAATTATCCTTTTTTATATAAACTTTAAACATTTAAAGTGGCTAAAGAAAGTTTTCAGCCACTACAGCACATTTTGCTTTCTTAAATGTTTGATTAAGCCCCTCAGGCCTAAGTGCACAGGACTGTCAGTCTGGATTTGTCTAAAACTACCGGCAAGACCTTCCACAAAGATATACAGTATTTATCTGGTATTTACAGAAAAAATATAGTGTTAGATTAATTTCAAAAATACATTTTATATTGTGTTATAAGAAAGCGAATAAAACCTAAATTCTACACTACAAAAAAGGTCCATCTAACCAAGTTTTAAAATCTTATATCCAGCCAAAAATACTATTTTTGATCTTTTTTTGAGACTGATTTACTAAASAAGAACTGAACATGTAAGATTATTTCTCTTTTTACAGGGCTCATCTGTCTTTTACCTGGGAGTGATGGTGGTGAATGCAGTTCCATGTCTAAACACCAGAGGCGCTAATGAGTCAAATAAAAAAGTCTAGTATGAATCGATCTGAACAATCCTGCAAAAAAAAGTCTTTCAGCTGACAAAAGATGCAGTATGTTTGAGTTTATTTTATCAATGTACAGTAAGAATGTATGTAAAACTGGTWAAAYTGGCATTACAGGTGTTTGAASATGACTGGTTCAATGTAAACGCCTTACCTTRCTGGAGATTAGTGTGAAAGGATGYTGAACAAACACTTGGCCCCTCTATGAATACAGTGGCCCCTTGATGGCCCCTTACTCAGACAAATCCTAGATCCACCACTGTCATGTTAGCCTGAAAATTAGAATCAAATTGAGTAAAAAATTCTGATAATGGAGTAAGAAAATTTTACTTGGTAAGATTCTTGAAATAAGAACAATTTCAAATCAAGTATCTTA